AAAAAACAGATTTCAGGGCAATATAAACTAATCTTGAAAACTTGTTTGTTTAACATAAAAAAACAGATTTCAGGGCAATATAAACTAATCTTTAAAACTTGATTGTTTACCAATATTTGAACTTACCTTAAGACAACTAACCTCAGGTGACAGAAGACTATTGCATATGTATTTTACACTAACATAAAAAACAGATTTCAGGGCAATATAAACTAATCTTGAAAACTTGTTTGTTTAACATAAAAAAACAGATTTCAGGGCAATATAAACTAATCTTTAAAACTTGTTAGTTTAACATAAAAAAACAGATTTCAGGGCAATATAAACTAATCTTTAAAACTTGATTGTTTACCAATATTTGAACTTACCTTAAGACAACTAACCTCAGGTGACAGAAGACTATTGCATATGTATTTTACACTAACATAAAAAACAGATTTCGGGGCAATATAGGTTATGTGTTTGTTTAACATAAAAAAACAGATTTCAGGGCAATAAAAACTAATCCTTAAAACTTGTTAGTTTACCAATATTTGAACCTACCTTAAGACAACTAACCTCAGATGACAGAAGACTATTGCATATGTATTTTACATTAACATAAAAAAACAGATTTCAAGGCAATATAAACTAATCTTGAAAACGTGTTTGTTTAACATAGAAAAACAGATTTCAGGGCAATATAAACTAATCTTTGAAACTTGTTAGTTTACCAATATCTGAACCTACCTTAAGACAACTAACCTCAGGTGACAGAAGACTATTGCATATGTATGTTTCTTCAAATATCTTCTCAATATCAGTCGTGTTTAGAGATGGTAAACATGCTTCAACCCTCACAGAATAGGGTATACCATGAGGATACTTCTTAGGGTTCATATCAGATATCAGCACAGTTAAATCCTGTAATATAACAGAAAAAAGATATAAGGAATTTTAAATGGTAAAGAAAGAAATTTTTAGTTCTAGCTTTTCTTGTAGTATTTGAGGCAGATGTGGTATGGTCCACACTGTGAACTACTTGAGATAAGCATTGTTGTTGTGGAAAGAAAAACGTACTTGATGAGATACACTATGCATTTAACACTAGTGGCATATGTAGTTGTTTGCAAACAAGCATATATGGTTTTTTAAAAATACTCTTTTATTGAACAACAGAATAATTAATTTAATAAGTTAAAGCTATAACGACATAACTACTGATATATGTGACCAAACTGGAGAGAAGCACAGACAGATCATATTTTTGTGAATAGAATGAAGATAATAAATTAGTTACCAAGATTCAGCTATACACGCACTACTAATAGTGACTTATAAACTGAGTGTATTTAAGTCGTTTAAGTGTAAAATGAAAGATAAAAATATATTTGATGGTTCTACAAAGATAAGGAGAACAGTAAAGTCTTGGTATGGTATAATAAACCAAGAAATAAGTTAGACATTGAGTCTGAGTAATGTATGCATTTCTAGAAGTCCAGGTGGAGTGACCAAACTTATACATCTGGATAAGAGAACAGTTAGGCCTGGATATGCCATAATAAATCAAGGAAGAATTTAGACACAGAGTTCAAGCTATGTACGTAGTCCTAGAAGGCCATACGAGATGTGGACAACTAAATCTTATCATTGTGTAACAAAACAAGTCAGAATATTTGAGTGCTACTAACACTATACAATAATAGAGAAACAGTCACCAACTTCTAGTTATGTCTTTCACTCTAGTAATGAATAAAACTATGGTCTATTACACTGTGATGGAACAGTTACTGGATTAAATGAACAATATGTAACTCACAATATTCTTGGATATTTTAGTTCCCTTAAAAATAAATTGCCATAAAAGTTATTTAAGTTATAACTGCAAATAATTCACTTTAGGTTCTAAAGAAACAACAAATTATGGATTGTTGAAGTAGGAGAATTTATGGTACTACAAAGTCTTACAAGCTTAAAATTTCCAATACAGCTCAAGTCAGTGTCCAGCGTAATAACACAAGTACTTTTGGGTGGAATAACACCAGAAGATGGGAACAGGGAGAATCTTTCAGTTTGCAGGAAAGAATCATCCATCCTAAAATTTGCAAAAGAAAAAAGAGAATTAATTTATAAGTAAGCTAGTTGTACAGTGGAATATTTACAGTAAACATACATCAATTTCAAAAAACTAAGGAAAGAATAATCTGATAATTGTGAAAGAATGTGATCAAAAGTTAGAAACTAACTAAATATGAAAGAACTTATTTTAATGTAACTGGTTTATCAAAAGTTAGAAACTAACTAAATATGAAAGAACTTATTTTAATGTAACTGGTTTATCAAAAGTTAGAAACTAACTAAATATGAAAGAACTTATTTTAATGTAACTGGTTGATCAACAGTTAGAAACTAACTAAATATGAAAGAACTTATTTTAATGTGGCTGATTGATCAACAGTAGGAAACTAACTAAATATGAAAGAACTTATTTTAATGTGGCTGATTGATCAACAGTAGGAAACTAACTAAATATGAAAGAATTTATTTTAATATGGTACATACTTGACATTCTTGGTTGTAGTTCGTTTTGAAGGAAGTATGTTTATATTTAAACCACTGAAAAATAATAAGAACAGAATGTTATAAAAAAATTGCATACATTTATTTTAGAACTTCTAACACATTATGAACATGAACATAAGGAAAAAAAAAGGACAACCTACACAGAAATAGTGGTTTAATCATAGTTTTATACAGACATTAATTAAAACTGAAAATAAATATTAACATCATATCATATTCAAACCTTAAAATAATATAATTTACCCCGACTCTTCCTTGTTTTGCTCACAAATGTTGAAGTTAAACTCAAATATTCCAGTGTTTTCTAAATTAATAGTGTTGTTTCTCTTTGTTCCTACAGGAAGACTTCCAAGATTCAGTTCATCAGATGGAAGAAATCTGAAACTAGAAAAGAAATAATTTATATTAATGAATTCTAAAAAAATTTTAAAGATACTCAAACAGATTTTTAGCTTAGAAATACAATGGATACAGAAAACATGCTTACAAAATACAGTGGACTTCAGACATCTTTATACAGAACTATACCATCACTATATCTGGGCAATTACCAACAAAAATGTTGAGTCCTTTCACAATGACAGAACTCCAGGACTCTACCATCACTATATTTGGGGAAATACTAACAAATCTGTTGAGTCCTTTCACAATGACAAAACTCCAGGACTCTACCATCACTATATTTGGGGAAATACTAACAAATTTTAGAGTCCTGGAGTTCTGTCATTGTGAAAGGACTCAACAGATTTGTTAGTATTTCTCCAAATATAGTGGTGATAGAGTCCTGGAGTTCTGTCATTGTGAAAGGACTCAACTCACCACTATATTTGGAGAAATACTAACAAATCTGTTGAGTCCTTTCACAATGACAGAACTCCAGGATGCTACCATCACTATATTTGGGGAAATACTAACAAATCTGTTGAGTCCTTTCACAATGACAGAACTCCAGGACTCTACCATCACTATATTTGGGGAAATACCAACAAATCTCTTGAAGTTACCTATACTGAAAATGTATTTTCAAAAGGTACTTCCACTTACACACATAGCTATTATTGGTCAATGCTGCCCTCTATTTGTGTTGGTAAACAGTATGAATAAGTTTGTAATTGATGACCAAGTTCTGTAACTGGGTAGAAATATAAAGTAATTCTGCTTCAGAATAAGTTACAAATTAGTACTATGGAATAAGAAATTGTAAGCTCGATAAGAGTAAATCAATATGAATATTCAAAAAACTTTAAAAGAGCATTAACTAAACATCTGAACATGAACACTGCCCAATGAGAAGTGATAGTTAGGTAGAATAGCGTAGAGAAAGTCACATGAGTCGGTGGGTGTGTGGTGCTTCTACTGGTGGAGGTTTGTCACATGATAGTTTGCATGCAAGAATCAGTTAAACCATGTGAATCAAGGGGTGCATGGGAGTGAAAGGCTTGTGGCATGTGAAAAAAATAGCAAATAGAGAGCAGCACTGAAAGAGAATAGCTATAGTATTTGAGCAGAACAGGAATCAATCTGAAAGAGAATAGCTATGTATTTGAGCAGAACAGAAACTGTACAGAAACTGTTATACTACTTTCACAACTGCAAACTACTTACTGACTGAAGGTTGCTTCAGCTGTAACATGAATAGGGAAGGTAATCACCCCTGAAGAGACAGATGTAGCAGAGCTTCCATTGTCTGCAACCTCACCAATATAACAAATTAATACAGGTAGGTCAGATATTATCAGCTCTTCTTTGCTGCAGAAGACAACCTGGACTGTAAGAGGTTTTTCAGTGGCTGGAATAACTCCTTTACTGGGCACTACTGTTAATATTTTAGATAAATCTGGTAATTTAACTTCTGCTGGCTGTTGAATAATAAAGCTATAGGGACAGAAAAGATCAACCTACAGTTACAGAAGACAAAAAGGCATTGAAAAGAAAATTTGGTCAGCATAAAAAAAAATTAGAATATTCTGTAAACTCAAGAATATATACGGTCAATTAAAAAGTCAGAAACAGTAGTCCAATTACAGTTCAATAAGTACCTAACTTATCTTAAAACATAAAATGTTTGTTTGTTCATAGTTAAGTACAAAGCTACATAAAGGGGTTATTTCTGCTGTGCCCACCTGATGTAACAAAACCAAGTTTTTAGCATATAAGCCCACAGACTTGCCTCTGCATCACTGGGGGTCTTTAAGGTGTAACATATATATATACTTCTACTGTTTCCTCATGAGAATGCCTGATGTTAATGCATTAGTTTACATCAGATGACTAAAGTAATTTCTTTGAATCCGTATCTTATTGTATTTTTATCCAATCCTGTATAAAACTGACAATAGAATCAACAACTAAATCATCAAACCTATATAGCAGCAATACTTTTATATGTCTTCAACCTTGAATTAATAACATTTAAAAACTTTCTCAGACAATAAATCATGATTATAGTCTACTGTGCAATACGATGCAGTAAGGTTTATACCTGGTTTCAAAAGTACTCTAAATTTAAAGTGAAAGAAATATTATATTTGTATGTCCACTTAGAAAACAACTCTGATGAGTAAGATGAACATCAAATAAAAAGCATTTAATTAGCCAAATACAGAATCAATCTGTTACTTAACTTCAAGTCCCATTATGGCTAGAAATGCCACTAATAGTGAGGGTTCTCAACTGTTGAAACAATGCATTCTAACAGCATGTTTAATTACCTATACTCATTATCAGGCTGATATTTTAGTTTTGATCTACATACATAGCTGGCTTTGATAAAAAGTTGATATAAATATAGTTAGAGTCATAAAAATTTACTTTTCTTACAGTTTACAAAATTCTCTAATACTCTAAAAAGCTAGTGACAGTGAAAGTCATTTTACTCCAATAGAAAGTGTAAAGGAATTACAGTGTAATAACCTAATCATCTCTGACATATTGCCAGTAATCAATGTAAACACTACCATTAACCACTGATTAAAGTAATATTACAGATTACAGTTAACCAACATAAAACATTACCATTAACCACTGATTAAAGTGTGTAATATTACAGATCACAGTTAATCAATGTAAAACATTACTATTAACTACTGATTAAAGTGTGTAATATTACAGATCACAGTTAATAAACGTAAAACATTATTATTAACTACTGATTAAAGTGTGTAATATTACAGATCATAGTTAATAAACGTATAACATTACTATTAACTACTGATTAAAGTGTGTAATATTACGGATCACAGTTAATCAATATAAAACCTTACTATTAACTACTGATTAAAGTGTGTAATATTATGGGTCACAGTTAATCAATGTAAAACATTACTATTAACTACTGATTAAAGTGTGTAATATTACGGATCACAGTTAATAAACGTAAAACATTACTATTAACTACTGATTAAAGTGTGTAATATTACGGATCACAGTTAATAAACGTAAAACATTACTATTAACTACTGATTAAAGTGTGTAATATTACAAGTCACAGTTAATCAATGTAAATTATTACTATTAACCTTTTTTATCATTAAAACTTATGTACTTGATAATGTTCATACCAGTGATCAAAACATCGTACCTGTTTTTAAGATATTCTTCCTTACTGTAAAAGCTTTAACATGCAATAAAATAATATATAAGTATGATAATGGAGATACTGTGTTATCACTTTGGAATATTCCAAATGGCAACTGATCAATATATAACATAAGTATGATAATACCAGTACTGTGTAAACAGTGTAGTTAATTATAATATTACACTTTCATAACTTGTAATTTGTAATATTCAATTATATTAGTTGTAATCCTTATTACTAACAAGTCATCAAAGTGTAATATTACAATCAATTACACTAATCACGGCATGGTATAACTGATTACTATTAATATAATCAAATATTTTAAGTGATATGTCACCAGAGTGTAACTCTATAAATATCAACTACAAAATTTGTAGCACCACTGTTGATAACTGATTAAAGTTTGTGATATTAGATATGAAAAATCTGAAATTAAACATGACCAATGACTATGATGAGACACCATTAAGACCATTGACCATGGGGCAACACAACATCTAATTATTCAATAAAATATGGAACACTATACAAAGTTATTTAAAGTTTTTACCTGAAGGTAGTTTCATGTTTGCTACGATTCTTTAAAGAACAAGAAATCTTGTTCTCTTCTCCAACACGAACTATTCCAAAATTCATATCATCATGCATACCTAATGTTTAAAATAGAAGTTTCAATTAGAAAAAAATGTTACTTCAATAAATATTTTTCATAGTTACATAAAACTGAAGAATGTTAAAATATCTTTAACTTTTATGAAGTAGACACCCAAAACAAAACCAGAAGCTTTTGCTAAGAGTGTTAAAATGTCTTTAACTTTTCTGAAGCATCAAAAACTTTTGTAAGGAATTTTAAAATATCTTTACCTTTCGTGAAGGAGATATCCACTACCAAATCAAAAACTTCTACTAATAATTTTAAAATATCTTTACCTTTTGTGAATGAAATATCCAACACCAAATCAAAAACATCTACTAAGAACTTTAAAATATCTTTACCTTTTGTGAAAGAAATATCCAACACCAAATCAAAAACATCTACTAAGAACTTTAAAATATCTTTACCTTTTGTGAAAGAAATA